ATATGTATATATATGTATATATATATATGTATATATGGCAGTGGCCAAAATGGATTTTGATGTGGAAACCCAATTTTTCCCATTGACCTTTTCTTATTCGACTAGATGAAACCACACACCAAAATGGAAGTGAGTATCTCACTTATTTTTCAAGTTATCACCCTCTCAACATTCAAGGATGGACAGACAGTATCTCCACTTTTCACTCCGTGACAGGGGACAGAAAAAGGATTTATAAACCAGGTGTTTCATAGCGATAGTCCCAGATTGAAAATCTCTACATATATTTTTCTTTACCTGACTAAGGCAAAGCAGAAGGCGTATGATGAGTTTATGGGAGGCTAGACACTAAAGAGGGTGAGAAGGACTTGTACTGATTGACAAGACAGAAAGAGAATTCATTCATTTAACCTTTATTTATACATAGTCTCATAGAGACACGAGGACTCATTTTCAAGAAAGACCTATTTTAGACAGACAACAATATACAACAATAAATAACAATTAAAATAAAATAAATCAGGCTGGAAAGGATGTGCGGCAGGTTAGGCTTGTTAAAGATAGGAATGGTAATGTTCTAACAAGTGAGGAGAGTGTGACAGAAAATGGAATGAAAGGAAAAGAAGAGTAGAGATCATTGAAGCTGTGGACCAGGAGGTGGGAAAAATTAGTGAGTGTGAAGTCCGGAAAGCTCTGAAAAGAATGAAGAAGGGGAAGGCAGTAGGACCTGATGATCAGTGGAGGGTTGGAAATGTCTTGGAGAGATGGCAGTGAGGTTTTTGACTCAAATATTCAATGGCATATATGAGGGTGAGAAAATGCCCAAGGAATGGAGAAGAAGTGTGCTGGTGCCCATTTTTCAGAACAAGGGTGATGCACAGAGTTGTAGCGACTACAGGGGAAGTAAGTTGATGGGTCAATGAAGATCTGGGAGAGAGTTGTGGAAGCAAGACTTAGATGAGAGGTGACTATCTGTTGTGATCAGCAGTATGGTTTCATGCCTAGAAAGAGCACCACAGACACCATCTTTGCCCTGAGGATGCTGATGGAGAAGTACAGAGAGGGTCAGAAAGAACTTTGTTGTTTCTTTGTGGATTTACAAAAAGCATAAAACAGGGTGCCGAGGGAGGAGGTGTGGTGTTGCATGAGAATATCTGGATTGGCAGAGAAGTGTTAGACTGGTACATGACATGTATGAGGACAGCAGGACAGTGGTGAGATGTGCTGTAGGAGTGACAGATAGTCTTCTTTACCTGCAGAAAAAGTAACTTGTGAAGATTATTTACTGTTTAAAGTATCTGTCATCCATCCATCTATTTTATTTGATTGCTGATTGATTCCAGGTCATGGATGAGCTGGTGCCAAAGTCACTAGCTGTGTTCCATTTGTACTTGTAAGTCAGAAATGTTCAAGTTCAAGGTTCTTTATTGTCATTTGCATCACATGTGGTACATGAGATGGAATGAAATTGTGTACACAGGGCCCCAGTTACATCCAACAATAGCAAAAATATAAATTGTAAAAAGATTGTTTTTTTTTGTTTGCACAAAATATTCAGTAGAGCTCTGCTTTTGTCATTGTTGTTAGCGCTGTTGATACGAGGAATGTAAGAATCACCCTGCGTTCAAGACTAATGTTTTTTATTTAGTTAATTCAGAGTGACTTAGGAAAAAAAAGGTTTTGTATGAAAATGTGACTTTTAAAAGTATTTCTCTTGTTTTATTTATTTATTGCACCACTTGCTCTTGTCGAGGGCAGATGCCTTTCCCCTCCTTTCCTCTCCTCCACTTTGCTTTGCTGCTCTGTCCTGTCTGTGAAACTGCTTCTGAGCATTTCTCTACATATCTTTTGAACCATAATATTGCTATGGATCTGGTCAGTTGGTCTCTCAACTCAATTGATAAAATTTTCTCAATGATAAGACAAGCTTCAGGCGAGCCGAACTGCCCTGACAACACACACAGCTGGATATGTCGTTGATTTCTGGGGGAAGTGGAATGTGATGTGTCTATCTCTGCTGTCGATAGAGGACATCGAAGATGTGTATATAATCAGATTTATAACAAGTTTCCTGCTTTTTGGAATCGGCTGGTTCCTGGTTTATCAACATATTAAAGAAGACGGCTGCAACTAATTTGGTCCTGGTCAGGCTGCCAGCCTTATGTGATGGTTTGCTCTGTGTCTCGAGCAGCCAGACTCAATTGCTTAGTGAACAGGACTCACTGGCAGGATGGATCAGATCTCAGGGAATATTCTCTGGCACAAACCAGCATGTGTGTCCACTTAATTTGGACGTTACAGAATCTACATGAGACCAGCAAAGTTTCAAGGCAGATAAAATTCAGTCAAGTTCTGCCCGTCTCCAAAACAAAGGTTGTTTATCTGAATTCGGCTCCCTCGGCTGGCCTTGGCAGGTCGCCTTATCTCAATTCGCCTGGAGGCGCTGTAAATTGGACACTCTGCCCCCTCCCCTCCCACCGAGGAAGTCTATGGACCTATCAGTGGGAAACCGGCTGAATAAACATCGTGTCATGTTGATCATTTCATGCCTTTTGGATTCTCACTGGCGCTGTCCTTGGCCAACCTCGGCACCCCCCGAGAATGTTTACAGATCTGCCAGAGGGAACTGATTGATCATTCCATTCTTATCAGAACACCTACAGTGCCTCCGGGAGCATTCTTGGACACGCTCACTGCACTTGTCGTCTCCCCCCTCCCCCGCCCCCGTGGAAGTCTACGTCACCATGTGCTTATGTAGGCGGGGTGTTTTTTATTTTCAATTACATGCTATCTCTCATTGGCCAAAGAGAGAGAAGCTGTTAGGATTTATTTTTTTTGCCTCCAAATCCTGCATGTTGTTACTTTCACAACTTTTTTTCTGTCTAAACAGGTCTCACTTGTAAAAGAGTCTTTGAGGCTCGATGTGATTTATCTGTATAAATACAGGTTGAATTGAATTGAACGTGTCTCGTGTTTGTTAAGGCCTCGTTGGTTGTATTTTTAAACCTCCATCAGAACTGTATAGACATTTTTTTAATCACAGTAAAACAATATTTAACTATACTAAACTGTTATTACCATAATGTTTACACAGAAGTTTTCATATATCTGGTACTGTGTGATTCTTTTTCTGTTAATAAAATATTTTTGGAACATTCATCACTGAGACTTCTTTCTTAATACATAACCACACAGGCTGTGCGTAATAGATGAAACAATGAAAAACGAAAATAGTAAATTGTTAAAAGCTCTTGTTTAATGATACACAAGTATTCTCATAAAGAATCTCTCAGCATTCCTTAACGCATAAAACAATACTACCACTGATACTTTATAGAAATACAAGAATCACCAATGCCCTGTGATGGACTTGCGACCCGTCCAGGGTGTACCCCGCCCCTCGCACAGTGATTGCTGGACATGGGCACCAGCGACCCCCGTGACCCAAAATGGAATAAGCGGGTAAAGATAATGGATGGATGGATGAAGAATCACCAATCATTTTTGTTTAAATAATCTTTTACACTACAAAATTGCTACTTGGCACAGTCGTGAGAAAATTTAATTCATATTTACATCAAAATGAAACACAAGCAAATGTTTTATTCATATTCATTTCTCTGCTCAGGGCATGTGTGTGGGTGTTTCTGTACACCTCGATGCAGAACAGATGAAGAAATGGGTTGCAGCATCCATCCTGGTGTTCTGCAGGTTCAGAAGACGCCTCCTGTCTAAAGGTTTGCTCACCTCTAACAGAGCTCTCTTCAGGTTGACTGGTTGTCTGGCCAGTGCCAGTGTTCTCAGTATCCTGATTTAAAGAAAATGTATGCTGAAGTAAAAAATAAAGAATGTAAACAATATACACCATTTCATCATCAATTCACTATTATAGCTACTATTACTTGGTGCTGTGCTACGTGACCACTGATTGCAATGACAAATTACACATAATCAAGTCGCTTTTTGCATAAAGTATTGTTAAAAACAACAATACCTTCTTTGCCTTTGTCCTCCTCCAGTGCGTTCTTCAAGTGGACTAAATGTTTGTTTGGCAACCTTCTATATCCAAAAGATTAAAAACAAAGACTTTTGTTGCAGGCCTACATGTTTTTTCGGCTTAAGGCAAGCGGGAAACTGGAACACTGTCGTCTCGGAGACAACGTCACTCCGACTTCCCAGTTATGAGTTCGGATGGAAATGGAATGCAGCAACTGTGTGAGAAGCAGGGGGCACTCTGGACATGTTTCTTGTCCATCACAGGGACATATATAGACAAATGAGATGAACCTAATGACAAATTAGATAAGTCATCTAACCAGGCATGCATGCATCAGTGTGCATGCATGTATTAGTTCTGGTGAGTGGGAGGAATCCAGAGTACCTGGAGAAAACTCAAACGAAAATGCAAATTCTACCCAGAAAAGCCCCGGGTGGGAGGTGAACCTGTGACCTTCTTGTTGTGAGGCAACAGCAATAAAAACAGCACAATACAAGCAATACATTGTGTCCTTTATAGCTGACAGATTTGAATAGTGAATGTTTGTAGTTTTCCAGAATGCAACTAACCTTAATGTTTTTGGTACAAGATATCAAGTGTGTAAGAATTAAGGTCCTGGCATACTCCATCTGAAGCCAAGCAGTTGAGGTGCAGTCATGTGGTTGCGGGACATTTGTTGTCGCACACACACCTTTCATTATTTACAAGCCACAGACTCGGCACTCCTGGGAAAGCCGTTCCGCTGCAGTATAGATGAGCTTCTTCTGGCCAGAGTCTCCATTCCGTCCCTGAATCTGCTGTTTGGCCACAAATCAATCATGGAGAGAGTACCACGCCTTTCAGCAGACAGACTCCTCCATACTTATTGTCTGCACGATCTCCATCCATCCATCCATCCATCCATCCATGCAGGAGTTTATGGCCGTTTGACTAATTTAGTGTATTTGAAGAGCTGTACAGCTGAATGTCCAGGTGCATTTCCACATTGATGAACATGCCCACAAACTTCTGACCAATCACACAATACTTGGTGCATATGCCTGTGAGAAAAAGTAGTGCCCGGGCCTTGTGTCGAGAAGGGGTGGAGCTACTCTGATAACAAAATTAGATAATTTTCGTCATGCAACTCTGTCATTGAGAGCTGATTTCACCGTTTTGTATGGAGTATGCAGGGCCCTTTACACTGTGTAGCAGAACAGAGGCCGGGTTTAATTTCCAAAACCTCTGCTCAGGTGTGACAGTTTGTGGTTTAAAGGACTGGTAGGAACAGTGTCTGAAGTCCCTAAAACATGAAGTCTGTTTTTAATGTGATGATTCATTACATGAAATAGTAATAAAAAGGTCTAATAAAAATAAAACTGTAAAGTCGCCCGAGTCTGAAGCCGTTGTAACATTTAAAGATACTCTAAGCAGAGCTGTTTCAGTAAAATGCATGTTTTTCAAACATACAGAAAATTATCTTGCTCTAACACAACTTTTTCCAAAAGGCAAGACCAGCACTGAAAGCACATTTTCTCCAGGTTGAGATAATATTAAATACCTGAAGTTTACTGCGAAGAGTTGGTGGTTTTAATGGCCACAGACAGTACCTGGTGCTCGAAGAGGCAATCCATTGTCCAGACCTTTGGGTTTGGTGGTGACAAACAAGTAACAGAGGACGCACAGAGTGATGATGAAGGCAAGGAGGACCACAGCTGCTACAGAGAGACCCACAAGAGCTCCGAGGCTGGAATGAGACACAGGAAGCAGCAGAAAAACATAAATAATATCAGAGACTTTTAGATAAAATACTACATCTGATAAAAAGGGGAAATATTACTTCAGCAGTTTGGGTATATTCATTAAGAGTTTATTTTTTTATATTTTAAAATGACTCTCAAATACAACATGCTGGTGAAGATTCTCAGTCATCCAGGACATGATGAATTCAAAAAGCGTTCAATACAAAAACAACTGGACTTTATTTGTAACAGAAGACGTTTCGCTCTTCATCCGAGGAGCTTTCTCAATTCAGAGAGTGAGAGATTCAGGTTATAAGGCTGAGTGAGATAAAACACACACACACATATGTAGATTGGCAATTCACACCTAAACAAACATTAACAGTAAGAGTCTTTGTTCCTCTAATTCACAGACGAGGCCCCTCTGTTCCCATCAGGTGTGAAAAACCGGCTGGGAATCTGTTTTAAAGTTGCATTATAGGTTTTTGAAAGTGGAAATCTGAGGCCTCCTCCTCTGTTAAGAGACGGCTTTTCTCTTTTTACATAAATTGCCTCCTTCACCCCCCTCTCAAACCATCTGTGTTCTCGGTCCAAAATGTGCACATTTTGGTCCTCAAAAGAGTGTCCCTTATCTGTGAGGTGGAGGTGAACAGCTGAGTCTTGTCCTGTGGAGCTGGCTCTCCTGTGTTGAGCCATGCGTCAGTGAAGGGGCTGTTTAGTTTCTCCAATGTAGAGGTCTGGACAGTCCTCGCTGCACTGGACCGCATACACTACACCACTCTGTTTGTGTATGGGTGTTTTGTCTTTAGGGTGGACCAGCCTCTGTCTGAGAGTCCTGCTGGGTTTGAAATGTACTGGGATCTTGTGTTTGTTGAAGATCCTTCTGAATTTCTCTGATACTCCAGCAACATAAGGGATGACAATGTTTTTACGTCTGTTCTCCTTTTTCTGTTTATTAGTGTGTTTTGTAGATTTCCTCACTGACTTGACAAAGGCCCAGTTAGGATATCCACATGTATGAAGAGCTTCTTGGATGTGTTTTTGTTCCTTTTCCTTCCCTTCTGTCTTTGTGGGGACGCATTCGGCCCGATGTTGTAAAGTTCTGATGACAGAGAGTTTGTGTTCCAGTGGATGGTGGGAGTCAAACAGAAGATACTGGTCTGTGTGGGTTGGTTTTCTGTAAACTTCAATGATGAGGCTGTCCTCTCTCTCCATCTGAACCAAACAGTCCAAAAAAGGCAGCTTGTTGTCGTTTGCATCCTCTCTGGTGAACTTGATGTTGTTATCCACCGAGTTAATGTGTCTGGTGAACGCTTCTATTTCCTTGGCTTGGATTTTGACCCAGGTGTCATCCACATATCGGAACCAATGACTTGGCGTTGTTCCCTCATAGGAGTTTAGGGCTCTCTGTTCCACTTCCTCCATGTAGAGATTGGCAACAATGGGTGACATTGGAGATCCCATGGCACAGCCGTGCTTCTGTCTGTAAAAACTGTCATTGAACTTGAAATAAGTGGTGGAGAGGCAGAGGTCCAACAGGGTGCAGATCTGGTCTGGGGTGAAGTTGGTCCTGTTGATTAAGTCCTTGTCTTGTAGAAGTTGTTTTCTGACGGTTTCTACTGCTTCAGAGATGGGTATGCATGTGAAAAGAGAAGTCACATCATACGATACAAGGGTTTCTCCTGGGGTTAGTTTCAAGTGTTGAACTTTGTTAGCAAAATCAATGGAGTTCTTTATGTGATGAGGTGTGTTTCCAACAAGAGGAGCTAAAATACCAGCCAGATGTTTAGCAATATTGTATGTCACTGAGTTCATGCTGCTGACGATGGGTCTGAGTGGTGTTCCTTCTTTGTGTATTTTTGGAAGTCCATAAAGACAGGGAGTGGCTTTTCTACATTTTCTTAAAAATGGATTCAAGTCATTGTTCCCTCAATTCCACACAATATTTTGTAGTAAAGCTCAATACGTTCAAGCAGCATGTTTGATAGCAATAACAGCACACCTATCTTAGAGCTTTTTCCCCCACTCTACAGAATCACTCAATCTCTCATCAGGTTGGATGGAGAATGTGGATGCAGCCATTTTCAAATCCCTCCAGAGTCTGGCTGGGCCACTCAGGGACGTTTACAAAGCTGTCCCCATCGCAGGGCAAAGATGAGGAATTGGAACCCCCCTTTCTGTCTGTCTGTCCATTGGTCCAGGCATGTTGTGAGCATAACCTAAAATATATGTGAGGTACTGACTTCCATTTTGGTGTGTGGCTACATCTAGGCTAAAGGTTATTTACGATAATTGGGTTGCCAAGTCAATATCCAGTCCAGAAATACACTACCCTCCAAAACTACAAACATCCATCTATCCATCCATTTTCTTTACCCGCTTATTCCATTTTGGGTCACGGGGGTCGCTGGTGCCCATGTCCAGCAATCACTGTGCGAGGGGCGGGGTACACCCTGGACGGGTCGCAAGTCCATCACAGGGCCACATAGAGACAAACGAGACAAACAACCATTCACTCTCTCACTCACACCTAGGGACAATTTAGAGTTACCAATCAGCCTAACATGCATGTTTTGGTCTGTGGGAGGAAACCGGAGTACCCGGAGAAAACCCACGCATGCACGGGGAGAACATGCAAACTCCACCAAGAAAGGCCCCTGGACCGGGGTTTGAACCAATGACCTTCTTGCTGAGAGGCAGCAGCTCTACTAGTTGTGCCACTGTGCTGCCTAACTACAAACATTCACTATTCAAATCCCTCAGCGATGGGGGCATCAGCGTACTGCTTGTTATCTTGACTGAGGGATGTTGTTGGAAGATGAGCCTTTGTTTCTGTGGTTCAAGGTGCTCTGGAGCAGATTATCATTGATGCTTCTTCACATTGGTGCAGCGAGCTTTCCCTCAACCCTGAGTACTCTCTAATTTCAGCCAAAAAATAAAAAATAAAAAAATCCCTGCAGCATAATGCTTTCAGGATGCAGTATTTCCCCTGCCATTATGTTAGATAAGTGTCTCATCCAAACAGCATATTGTGCCACTTTATCTATCTATCTATCTATCTATCTATCTATCTATCTATCTATCTAT